GAAAGAAGATTGAGATAGCTTTGTGTGAAAGGAGGTAAGACCGTATCAGAAGTATTTATGCAGGTAAAGCCATTATAACCACTGGAGAGTTTGAAGAGTAGTTATTGAAGCAATATATTGATCAGAAATGAGATTTTTTAGACCCAAATACAGCTTAGGAATTTTGTAGTATCAATGTAGTAAGTTATAATTTTTTTGTTATTTCAAAATGCATATATGAAACTTACAAAAAAAATTTCTACAAGTTGTACATGCAAAGTTGTAGCAAGTAGGGCATATGAGTACAAATAAAATCATAGCATCATAAGTAATAGAGATCATTGTTTTCTATATACTTTTTATTTATTATTGAATGTTTTAAGAAAAATAACTGAAATTTAAGAATTTATTTGTAAACAGTATTAATATATATACACAAGTAATGTATGGTAACTAAAATGTCACTATTTTACAAAATAATGGTATAATAGTACTAAGACTAAGAAGAGTAAGACATTTGTATTTTGCAAAGGCCAGTTTGCTATTTGAAAAGGTAACATTAGCTACATGTGTGCCATGTGATTTACAACTTGTGGAGTGGGATTATTAGTTAGACACTGTTCAAAGGTGAATAAAAAAATAAATATAAATAGATTCATACTGTTATGAGATTTAAGCTATTTAGAATAAACAGTTGTGGTTTCCTGTTACAATTTGCAGTCATTCTAGAAAAAAAAAAAAAAGAGTTATTTAGATTTGTTTTTTTTTTTAATTTTTTTTTTATGGTGGTTATGAGGTCAGTCAAATCAACAAACCGCCCCGTATAGAGTTGAGGTAGAAAAAATAACAGATAAAATATAAAGTTGCACCATTGTTCATCCATATGCAGGTGCAACATGGTCAGACTTCCTGCTTACGGATGATAATGCATGTCCACACTTTGCAAGGGCAGTGACTGTATTCCTGGAAGCTGAAGGAATTCCCAGGATGAAGTGGCCAGCTAAGTCTCCTGACCTCAACCCAATACAGTACATCTGGGAGCAGCTACAGACACAGCTACAACCTGCCATTATTGAAGAATGGCAACAGATTCCACCACAACAATTGGCTAATCTGATCATGAGCATGTGCAGACATTGTGCAGCATTCATTAATGCTCGAGATGGTCATACAGACTACTGAAATAACCTTGACTGTGAATTGGACACTTCTTTCAATGACTGTTGATTTTGAAATTTTTCTTGTTAACATTGTACAGGGTGCATCACTTCCTCAGGCTCTGTTATCCAAGATAAATGTTAAAGAATTTAATAAACTGTAAAAATGACTTATCCAGGTGTTTTTGTTCCTAAAATGTTCAATCTATACATACCATTGCGGTAAGTGTTTGACATATATTCAAAATAAAACATGATCCCTAACAAATGTTGACTATTGTATACTAGGATACATATATTAGGGACATCTGGACACGTGGAACACACAAAATCTGATCCCGATGTCAGCCAATCCTCGGCACATCGGCACCAATACAATATTTCACTCAGGTCACAGGTTTATCTTATGCTAAAACTTAGTTTTGTGAAAAGTCAAGAAATAAGATTTTTTTTTCACCCAATAAATGCCTCAGACAAACTTACATGGAAGAAGAATTCAAGGTTGATCTTCTTTTTCTCTTTGCTTTAGAGCCAACTACGGGATTTCCAAAATGTTCAGGATTTGTTAGTGGGAGCTGATCTAAAGTCTATGTTCAAAAGAGTAAGTCACATTAATCAGAAAATACAAATATCCAATTTGATATATTTTCTCACAGTTAAGATTACAAAGTAACCCTTTTGAATAATTTTCCTTACTTCACCACGTAATGCAAATATACAAAACAAACCATGCCAAACAAATAAACACAAAAGAAACCCACACTACCATACTTTTATTCATTAAAGTTTGTTGCTGCTTTCAAAAAGAGTACTTGAAAATCATAATTTATCTTAAGAGAAAGTTATTAAAAAAGAAAACCCTCTTCATCTGAGGATTTTCTTGAGAATGTGGTACATTGTTTTATCATTCAATGTAATATTAAGAAGAATACGATCATAAATGTTTTAATGTAAATGTACTTGTGTTCTAGAAGTAATTAAATCATAAATGATTATATTGAAATCAATTATGAAGCTTAAGGAGTATAAACTTTCAGATACTGCAAAAAACAAATTATGAAACACAGAGACTGGCTATCTAACTTAAATGAGAAAGCTATGTAAAACATAAGAGATTTCTAGACTGATAGAGATGGGGAAGAATTTTCCTTAATTTATAAGAAGAAAAGTTTTTAGTTATAGCTTGGGACAATTACCAAAAGTAAAGCTCTCAACACTGATAAGATTTATTCTAGAACTAAAAGGAAGTTAAAAGGAGAATTGGTGAGGCTATTAACTTTTAAAAGTGTATTTAATAATGAGGATATTCAAGAATATTGAATAATTGTCAATGCAATATGTTTTGTTTTGTGTTCTTAATGACTGAGGATTAATTAGCTTAATTCGTTATTTCTATCTAATTCTTCAAGTTTCTTAGTTAAGCCTTTTCTGATGGTGCATCTTTCAAAGAATGTTAAAGTACCTCACAAAAAATAACTAGTTAGCTTTTACTCAATTATTGAAAACATATAAAGTGGATAGAAAACTGACTTGGTAGTAGAAAACAAATGGTGGTAATAATGAAGTTTCTGTTTATGATTTATGTCAAGAACTTCGAAAGCTTCTTGGAGTGTAATGAGTGCTAAATGTGCTAATGTTATTACTATGCTGTAAAGGAATTATCATGATGATATTGTTTCATTATTTAGCAAAAATGTCAGCAAAAAAATTTAAAAGTGATGCACTTTTAATATTGAAGGGTGTTGGAAAAAAGAGAATAATTCAGGTGAGATTGTTCATAAAAGCTTGAAAATCCGAGCAGAGTATTTAGCTTTGGTGAAAAGAGCCAAACAGAAATCTGGAATCCATTTTTCAGAAATTGTAAATCTGATAGTAAGAAGGTTATTGTACCTCATAAGTTTCTTGTGAGAGCTCGCTGAGAATACTAATGCAATTTTGGTTCTTTTATTCAGGAAGAGTATCAACATATTGGAAAGACAACAGAGGTACACTACTACAAAAAACCTAGATTAAGAAATTTGAGCTAAATAAATAGGCTTAAAAATGTTGAATTGTTTTCTTTGTAGAGTAGAAAAAATTGAAGTGACTTGTTTATGGTGTTTAAAATTATTAGGGCTTGGATAAACTGACAAATATTAAATTAATTATTAGGTATAATAAGCTTAAGTTTTGAAAATTCAAATTCAGACTTAATTTAGCAAAATTATTTCTCTGCTGGGATTAGAAGCTTGTGAAATGGGCTGCCTTACAATGTTTTTTAACATTCATATAAACAGTTGCTCAATAGGAATATGGAAAGAATGAACACATTTAATTTTTGTTGGCCAGTATGTCGGAGGAAGGCTTCTGGATAGGCGTAATATAATTCTCTTACTGTAAAAAAATAAAATAAAATTTAGTTTAAAAGACTAAACAGCAAAATATCAATTCATCAAATGAATACTATTAAACACCATGGATAAATAATCCATATGTTGAAAAATAATGGGCGGGTTAATATTTTTATTTTTTAGAGGTAAATGTGCAGGGACAGTCTTGAAGAAAATGGTCCCTTGTTGTCTGTATGCTATGTTATTATAAAATATGTAAATCAAAATAAATCTTCAAATACCGAGATGGAAAACACTTCTCTGATACATATAAAAATCATTTAAATGTTTTAAAAATTAACCAATAAAACATTATTTTGTACATATTAAGCAAAACAAAACATTATAATCATATACTGTATTAGTTTACCTCGCTTTCAGCAAAATGTCTGCCACTTTTTAAACAAAGAGATGTTCTTCTTAGTGTTGTTTCATCTCCATCATCAAAAACTGAAAAAAAATATTATTTCTACTTTATTCTACTTATTTCTTCAATAATATAAAACTGACCTTTGATCTTTACAAAGTAACCTGTCTTGATTGTGTTTTAGTAGACTAGTACTTTGTAAAATACAGTCACATTTCAATTATTATACATTATATATGTATATAGATTATTTTGTTTTGAAATAAGTTCTTAAACTTATTTTTCTTAAAACATAGAACAGTAAATAAAGAAGAAAAGCAAACAATTATCTTTTCTAGTTATGACCTTTGTACTCAATTGCTGCTTGACGTATGTTGCTAAGCCTTTAAAAATTTTGCACGTGGAAGATATGAAAAAATATTTATAGGTTTTATATACATTTGAATAACCAAAATTTCATAAATTGCAATATCAATACCAGAATTATAATTTATCAATTTTATTAACAAGGATGTATTTGGGTCTAAAAAATATGAAATTTCATTCAGACTAAAGACTTGACTTTCCTCTATGCTGTTTTGTATCGAAAGAAAGATATAATGGCTTTATATTTGAAAATGGCTGAGAAGGCCACTAGGGAGACATTCTGAGCTTTAGATTTGTTATTCATGTCATATATAGAAGTAAGAGTATATAAGGGAGCATTTCCAACAATGGAAAGAGGTGGGTGGGATGCCACTGCATTTGATTTATTACATGAGCAATATCTTAGCAAATAGAAAAGATAAGATGATCTTATTTTATATTCTAGTTTGTCAATATCGGTAATTCGAGTTTCTAAATCATACAAAACTATAAACTTTGTATTTTGACTTCATAAACATCTAATTTGAACCAGTGCTGCATTCAACATACCATATTACACATAAAAATTGACTTTTATCTGTTGTTGTTTTTTAATATTTACTTTTAAATTAAGAAATTGAGTAATGTATAGTACTAAAATTTGAATTATAATCTACAGTTTG